TGGAAACAGCATTTATTAGACAGACAAAAAACAAAACAAAATGCCTGTCTCGATCAATCGCACATCCATAATGTTTGCATGTTGATACGCTTGTAAATAACATTAACGTAAAAGTCGAAACAACCTAGACTAGAAGTCAATTCACCAGTCCAGCCAGCTATGGCTCCCTAAGTTGCTTATATTTAATCAGATACTATTTCGTCATCATGCTTTGTTACCTTACCTGTTTATTCCTCATGAGGGCGTTTTTTTATGGCAAGATGGCGCAAACGGAAGTCCTTCGCAGGTTTATGGTTTCTCATATTTAAATCATCATAACTCTGAAGATAATCATTTTTTGTAATTTTTTTTTTCAAATTTATTATCAATATACATAACTTGATAAATACAAACACCAAAATAGGCTCTATTTAGTTCCCCTTTAATACTAAGAACACCTGTTATTAATTAAGTTTCTTTCAGACTAAAATGCTTACTTTTATTAATATTAATCTTCACATTTTTTTTTTCACTTAGCATTGTGCTGTATGTATTAAACAAGAGGTAATAGTGTGGTACATAGTGTTCATAGCTTTGTATACAATTTGTTGTTTACTGATTACTATTGTACTTATTTCTATGTATTTATTTAGGATGCCAAACTTGAGGAACATGTTCCTATACCAACGACTGAACAATTTGCTAATGTCGGAATATCAACTGATGTAGATAAAAGCACTGTGCCTTTGACATTAGGATCAAGAAGAAAAGCATCTGATGAAGTAAGTAGGATATTTTTTGCTTGAGGGACAGTGTAGTGCGTAAACTCAAGGTTGTGTACTCGTTATTATTTTGGAATACTGATGTTGGGTTATTGTCAAATATACGATTAGATAACTGATTCAAAACATGGGCATGTTTGCAAAGTTTTGTGTACTATGTGTGTTGATTTTGTGAACAATGTGCACTTTTTCTAGAATATCTACAATGGGAAATGGAATTGCCCAAGACTGTTGCCGTTGAACATTTTAAAGTAAACTAAACATAACTTCACTTTCAGTTTTGATTCTTTGGTCAAAATAAATGAAATCTCATGAATTGTTTTTGTTGTCCATAATGATCACATACTATACTCCAAAGTGTCCAACACTGACAGGCTTACAGAAAAAAAAAGTGTCATTTCTGGATATGTTCTTGATCTTTTTTGACCTGTTTCAAATTGTGAAAAAGAATCAATGTACACTATACTGTGTATTGTTTGATACATGACAAATTGTCTTTGAAAGTTGCATGTTTGTTGCTGAAGTTCGCTGAACTATATTTTTCAGATGTTGTTCTTACATCAACTCGCCAGTTCTAATGAGATTAAGTTCTTTGAAATGTGATGTTTTCTTTCAGTCTTGTTTAGTTGCATTCTTCAATGCTGGTTCAGAAACAGAAGATAAAGTCAGGCAGTTTATTGAGAAAATGAGAGAAGAGGTAAGATTATAATGTTGTATAATCATGTCTCAAAGTATTTTCTTACTTTCATGAAACCTAATTCATTTGTGTCTGGGTTTTTTTCAGCAACAAATTCTAATTCTTTTTTTTGCATATTCAACAGGGTACATGTACTTTAGTTCAGAGCAAAGAAATTCCAATGAAACCAGACGAAGCTACTCGTATTTTTGGTAGTGATCCAAAGTATTCAGCTGCTGCATCCTCAGGTAAATAAAATATTTAGTTTTAGCAGCTTGATAACATTTCAAGGTTTATACTTTTGTTGTCTCAACTGATCAATTCCACTATAGTTGTATGAATTATTTGTCATGATAGTATCAACCACACAACTGAGAAATGTTTAAAGTAGCTGAGTTGGCACACTAAATTACAATGAACAACCTTTGAGAACAGTGTAACTCAGAATAGCATGGCTTTTGTGTTTGTACTAAACTTGGATTCACATGGAAGAAATGTTTTTCTCAATGATCAAATTGACTGGATGCAGCTTTTTTTATGTTTCTGTTTTTGTAGGTGATGTAATTGGTTTGGAATACAATGGAGATCAAGTAATACAGAAATGCTCTTCTATCATACAGCCAGTCATTGGTGATTCCACATTCTACATATCAGATAATACTAGAAGTTCAGCTCAGGAGGATATAGATGGTTTCTATAATTTTGCTGATATGCAGATGGCAATGTAGTGTCATTTCCCACCATCAGTGAATAATAGATAAAGTTGTCTAATTTAGGTAAACTTTTTTAATAATGGCTCATCGAAAGAGATGGTTCAAACATCAATCTTATAAAAATCTATGGCTCAAAGTCATTTTGCTGTTTGATGATACTGATAATGTAGGCCCATGCTTGACCCCAACAGGTCACATATCCTGTCACTATTGATGAGAATTTTTCAAATATTTTTTTCTCAAAATACAAGCAATTGTCATTTAATTTAAAACAGGTTAATATGATGAAAAAAAGATTTGTTATTATAAGCATAAATATACCCAAGAATTGACAGAATGTGTGACCTTTTAGTCAGGAGTTTCCTGTAAAACCTAGTTTTTTGCAGTACTATGTGGATGAATTATTTTTATATTTTGCTTAATGTTTTGAACATTTCTATGAATTGTCCGCTGAAAGCTTAACTTAAGCTGTTGTATCCTTGTACACCCAATTGTCATCATTGTAAAATGTACTTAACACACTATACTTTGTACACTGCATCACCCACTGTAAACTAAAAATGTCTACATATAGTTCTTCTGATTTGTACTTAAAACAAATATTATTTTATACATAGTCTAGTTGTGGCTACCAAAATTTGCATAGTTTATTGAAATTCACTGCCACACTGCAAACATGAAGATGAAATGTCAAATATTAAGATAGATGCTTGCTCTTTAATCAAAATACACAGAATATATTCATTTGGAAATAAATTGTACTCCCAGTCAGTAAAGAATATTGACTTGTTTGGGGTTGAGGGTCACCAGTTTAATTTTTGAGAAAATGATTGTTTGTAATTTAGTAAAAAAGTGGCCATTTTGGATAGTACCGTAATAGGATTCTTTTACCATTGATTTCTATGTTGAAGGTATTATGCCATATTTATGTTTGTAGTCTGGTGACATGGGGTGAACAAATCATATACCTGGTAACATGACTAATACCCCATCCCACCTAAGTTAAACCACAAGCATTCAACATAATAATTAGGGGGAAATGTATCAAAATCTTTTGTTTTCAAATTATTGATTTTGACACATATCATAAACTTTTGGGATTTTTTTCTCAATGTAAAATATTTGTTTGGTGAATTTTTTGAACAATTTCCATAAAAGGCCATTTTAAAACAATAATTCTTAAAATCCTAATAATTCCTTACAACCATACAATGTATATTACCCATCTGATAACCCAATTTGTTATGGTGAGTACTTTTTATCATAAGAACTATAGCGAGCGCAATTACAGAGGGACTTTGCAACATCTCCAGACACTTTTCTAGACACTCCAGTGGTCGTTGTAGACGCAATAAAGTTACATACATAATGGATTGACCTAGTGTTGCCAATACTATTATTAACATTGAATGAAGAAGCTTATTCAATGACCTAAAATGAATATTTTTAGGTTTTGAAAAATTACACAAAAAAATATTTTCTACGTGACAATACGCATTATGAGTCTACCGGGGTATGTGGAAAATATAAGTTTGATTTCTAATTCCGTAGCATGGAAAAATAAACATCACTGTGATATACTTAGGGATATAACGTTTTGATAAATCTTATCAAAAAAGTGACACCATTTTAGACCTTCGAATATGCAAAATGATGGGTCCAGACAATATAGTCATAGCCATAGTCAACTTAAAAGCCTATATATATTTCTATGTACTCATTAAAACAGTAATTTAAATAGTGTGGAATATATTCCTTGACATAAAGATACATACTGGTAATAATTGCAGCTGTCGAGTGTAACAACAATAATTTTTAGACCCAAATGAGTCAAAATATAGGGATGTACAAATTATCGGGTAATCTAATTTAAAACATTTTAGTTTTGTAAGTTACATTTTATTACTTGTGTTTTTTGACTGAAATGTTTTTAAGTTAATGTGATTAACTAAAATTTAGCCCTGTAATATTGATTTTCTGTATTTTTTCTCTCAATTCAACATTAATTAAAAGTACATAAAATATGATATTATTTATAGATTCCAATCAATAATTAAACATTCTGTTTGCTGTCTTTTAAGGAAATGAGCAGGTTTTGAATGCTGCTATTTTGTGAAAATGCAAAAAAGTTTCCCTATGGTGGTGGATGCGGGTAAACTTTGCTGCTGTAAGGGTTAGTAAGATTGTCACATGGTGTAGTATTTTGCACATAGAACTGGAGTGAACCAAACTGTTTTAGTGTGCATACATGCTACCTGAATATTGACTTCAATTGAATTCAAATGAAAAATAAGAAGCATAGTCTATATTTAATAGTAAATTTTAAATGATATAATTTATTTCACAACAAGGTTGTTAAATCAAGATGAAAGTGTTCACAAAGCATATTTATATGCATGCGTGTAATGGAACATACCATCTATTTCTGGACAGTCAGAATTTTATTGATGCTTGTGATGAATGTTATCCTGTTGTGTTAAGATTATTACAAAATTGTTATACAACAATTTATAATCATAGGATATGTATTTTTTCATTGCTCTATAAAAGGGGTCAATTTTGAGATGTATCATTTATTATTTTAATGCACACTATTCATTTAATGCTAACAATAATTTGAGATCTGTAAATAATTTTTCACTTTGTCATTTGATCATAATTTCATTATTAACAAGGAACAGTATCCTGTTTTAAGCTGTATATTATTTGTAAAATAAGTAGTTATACATTCTTGTTTATGTATTTATTCACAATTACACAAAACCACCGTCCAGTTTTATCATTATTCCCTCCTTGCATTTATTATTTCAAGTCTCTTATCAGCTGATATTTTATTTTAAGTACTTATCACAGAACTGTTCTTGATGTGTTCATATACAAAACACTGCAAGGTAAATTCTGATTTTATAGTCAATCTTCATAACTTTTGTGACAGTGAATTCTATTTGCCACTAGGCTTTTTTTGTATAAATTAGACACCACTTTGATGAAATGCCAACCTGGTATTAGTCATTTTTCCCTGAAAACACATACAACCTGGTGGTGGTGGTGAACTGTATCACTGGTGACTTAAATAAAGTCAGCTTCCCTTTCCGCTGGTACATGCCAGTATACCAGCATTGGCCATAAGGGAATACCCCTATAACTTATTTTCATACATGTTAGTTTGTGACAGGACTATAAATATGTAATATTAGTTTCTACTTGAGATGTGAATGTTATACTAAGGGCAGATTTATTTCCTGCTGTTCTCCAGCCCATTAGAAAACATGATTTTATTTTTTTTATTTTTTCTATTTGTGCAATCGAGATTTGATTAAAGCTCTGGAATTAATGTCAAATTAAAAATAAAATCGTCATTGTAATTTTCTGTATATTTTATAATTTATTACAATTGGAACTACATGATTTGAAAGACTACACAGTTCCTCTGGAAATAAAATAGCTTGTACACTCTCCAAGATCAGTTGACTGAGATGTTCCAATTGTGCCCCAACAATAGCTCAAACATTATTACCGGGGGTATTATGATTATTTGTTTGACTGCTTAGTAGTCTGTTTGACAGGATGAATACTTGAGGAAGAGGATGATGAGGAAGTTGGTGGTCACATATTTCAGTTGAGCATTTTTCAGTGAGAATTGTTATGTTAGGAATGTATTCTTGTGGCACCAAATGTCTTGGGGTAACTGCCATCTGGTCACAATAGCCTTGTGGTTGAAAATTTAAGATTTTATTTAAGTTTCTTGATTTAAATAATTCGTCTGTAATTTGCATGTGCAATTCCTGAGGAAGCACAGATGTAGTTATAGGAGGCGGGATTACATCTGTAGATTGTGGTGCTAGCGGGAATTCCTGGGGAACCACAGATGTAGTTACAGGCGGCGGGATCACATCTGTAGATTGTTATGCTAGTGGAAATTTCTGAGGACCCACAGATGTAGTTACCACCGGCGGGATTACATCTGTAGATTGTTATGCTAGCGGGAATTCCTGGGGAACCACAGATGTAGTTACAGGCGGCGGGATCACATCTGTAGTGCTAGCGGGAATTCCTAAGGAACCACAGATGTAGTTACCAGCGGCGGGATTACATTTGTAGATTGTTATGCTAGCGGGAATTCCTGAGGAACCACAGATGTAGTTACCACCGGCGGGATTACATCTGTAGATTGTGGTGCTAGCGAGAATTCCTGGGGAACCACAGATGTAGTTACAGGCGGCGGGATTACATCTGTAGATTGCGATGCTAGCGGGAATTCCCAAGGAACCCACAGATGTAGTTATATGTGGGATCACATATGTAGATTGTGGTGCTAGCGGGAATTCCTGAGGAACCCACAGATGTAGTTATATGTGGGATCACATCTGTAGATTGTGGTGCTAGCGGGAATTCCTGAGGAACCCACAGATGTAGTTACAGGTGGCGGGATCACATCTGTAGATTATGGTGCTAGCGGGAATTCTTGAGGAACCCACAGATGTAGTTATATGTGGGATCACATCTGTAGATTGTGGTGCTAGCGGGAATTTCTGAGGAACCACAGATGTAGTTACAGGTGGCGGGATTACATCTGTAGATTGTGGTGCTATTGGGAATTCCTGAAGAACCCACAGATGTAGTTATAGGTGGGATTACATCTGTAGATTGTGGTGCTAGCGGGAATTCCAGAGGAACCCACAGATGTAGTTATAGGTGGGATTACATCTGTAGATTGTAGTGCTAGCAGGAACTCCACCCAGTAGCATATTTGTTTGTTGCACATAAAAGGTATACCACAAACTTACTCTAAACAGTAACTGCTAACATGTACCTTGTATGCATTACATAAGCATGCCCTTGATCTAAGCTTGAAGCAGAAGAAGCAGATCAGTAGTCTCTCTAATCTCTAGTTCAATTGAATAGATCATTGAAATATAATCACAAAATTTAGGATTGTTGATAGAAGTGCATATATGGCCAAACATTATCACTGTAAACCAGAATCCTGCAAAAAGAATAATAAAATGACAGTCAAATCACAAGGAATGTTGAAAAAATATACCAAATGGTATTTAATTATTCAGTTCAAACAATAAGCAGAGCATTAGAATCGTAGTAAAAACAAACGAGTTAGCAATCAATGAACATAGATGTCGCTGTTTGCGCTCACGTAAATTGCGAAATCATTGAGTGGGACACAGTTGCACGGCCCTCGATAAAGCTCGGACATTATAAAGAGCCATTCATAGCTTGTATTCTTCAGATACAAAATGTTTTATTATTTTCTAATAGCGAAGAGGTGTCAAATGCTCAAGAAATATACTTATTTACGGCCGATCGAACCAAATGGATCCCACATGACGTCGGCAGGCGAAAAGCTGGCATAAAAGTGGATTTTTTTTTCTTGATTACGTCCAACATTACACAAGTCGGATAAGGTCGTGATGGGTTTTATTTTATGAAAGGAAAACTGAGGTTAACTTCGAAGTAAACCTAAATCAGTTATGAACCTTTGCAAAGTGTAACAATCACTGACTTAGAACATGTACAATTTGTTATCTCCATGCTTAGAATAATATTGATGTAGAATGCGGTGATTAGATATATGCAACGTGGCGGGTGCCGTATTTGTAAATATTTACGCGTTAATTTCAGTTTTGTTTTCTGATAGCTTGCGGAACAACATTACATACTCCGTGACACCGGAAGTACATTTATTTTATTTCTGGCTTTCAGGGTGTTGGTATAATTTTATTTTGGCAGTTGCTTAGTATATTATTCGATTTAATGTTAATTCAGCGATATCAACATATTGACCAGGGAGGTAAAGATGACAATAATTGTCTGAATACTGAGTTGAAGAAAGGATATGACAAATGATACCCTAGTTTCGTGTTATAGTCACAAGGGGCGCCCTTGCAGCGGATAACATGAATATGAATTCGTCGGATGGGGATAATTACGATTAACTTGCCATCACACCACGAGTACGAGAAATGACGCAATATAAATGAAAACATGTAATTTTACGAAATACGAAACCGTATGCTGAATGTTCGTTCGATGAATATAGAAATATGCGCTTATTTGTGTACGTACAATTAATATCACTGCACGTGTTCAATATAATCCTATACAGTGTGCAGCAAAAACTACACTTAAAGTTTACTCTAAATCATAATACATTTCTCCTCAACATGTTGTATCAAATTAAACAACATTATAACAAAATTCCGTCCATATTGTGTCTACAATAATTGTTCATATGTATGTGATAACTTTGGTGATTGTATTCCAAACAATACTAAACTTGGTTATTTTATTCATCAGTTTAACATCTTGCCTGGGTTTGATTTTCATATGTCTAGCATGTAAAATATCATAATATAAAAGACAACATCTCTGAGATGTTTTTGGCTTAGAATAACCGTGAGCAAGGATTGACATTGAAATTCACTTTGAAGTTAGACAAGATAATGAAAGACAATGGGACAATACACTTATATGCACGCCACGGAACATGAGT